TTTCCACACAGTTGACCACAATTGACCATTGCTGCCTTTTGGAAACACTTGTCTCTTGACCTGTGACACAAACCCTTCCCTGGTTTTCCTTCTCCCATTCTAGTTGACCATTTTCTGTCTTCTGTGTTACCTGACATCTAAAAGAGGAGAGGTTTAGTTCCCTTGTTTTTCATCTTGTACTTTTGGTTAAATATCTTTTTGTGTAAGTCTTTCACATTATCTCTAGCCCAGAGTTTGTCATCTTTAGCACTATTGACATTTTGGGCTGGAAAATTTTTTCAGTGTCGGGGGATGTCTCATGGATTGTAGGATGCTTAGCAGCATCTCTGGCTTCTACGCTGTAACTGCCAATAGAGTTCCCTCTACCCTTATTGTGACAATCAAAATGTCTCCAGATATTGCCAAATGTCTCCGGGGTACATAAAATCACCACCTGTTGAGGACTACTTATCTAGCCTGAAGCTCTCTTCTGAGGATCTGGGGATAACACCTTTCTGACATCTCTACTTGAATGTCTCTTAGGCATTGCAAATTTAACGTGACCAAAATGGACTCTTGTTTTTTCTCCCGTATGTGCTCTCCCCTCAGATTTTCAGATTTTAGATTATTTATGACCTTGCATTGGAGGTACCAATAAAAGACATTGGAGGCTTTTATTGGAGTAAACTAGGGAGCCACCAGAGAGTTTTGAGCCAAGAAAGGACATGATCTCACTTAGGTCAGCTCTTTCTTGAGCATAGACTATGACTTGGAAGACTTAAAGCAGGAAGACCAGTTAAGAGGCTACTGTGGTAATCACAGTGAAAAATGGTAGTAGCTTACACAAGGATGGCAGTAGGGCATAAGGTAAGGAGTGGCATCTCTGGTTTAGTGCTTAAACACAAATATCCCTGAGAAGAAGAATGCACTTGTACCTTCATGAAGTTAGTATCAGAGTATGCTTTGTTTTTCAGATGTTTTCTAAGAACTTGCAGGGAACAGGTTTTGGTGGATCAGAATGAGAGGACAGTAGCCAAGTTCCTGGGTTCCTCCAAGCCAGAACTTCCTGGGATGTTACTTGCAGGGATTCAGGCCATAACAGGGTTTTAAAACAAAGGACCCAATAGGAGGAGTAAGCAAGACATCCAGTACTGCCTATTCTACCTCACAATCTTACTTAGGGCTGGTCCTCCCTTGGTAAAACATGTACTGGGTGGCAGGGTAGATAGAACAATTGGAAGTCAGGAGTTTCCTTCATTAAATATAGGAAGCACATCATCTTGGGCTGGAAGGCCCTTAGCTGAAGTGAGGTGGCTATTGGCATTTGGGATAGGACAGGTTTTTGTTGTACAAGATTGCCCTACATGTCGCAAGATTCACAATAGTGTGCTCTCTCATTGTGACATCTAAAAAACGCCTCCCCACATTTCCAGACTCCCCATGGGAGTCAGACATGTTCAACTGTATACCACTGGACTGAGCCCCCTTTGCTAATTTGAAAACTGCCTTCTGTAATATGAAGTTAGTAAAAAGGCTATACATTCCAGGCCCTTAAAGAAAAACTGCATTACTTGTTTGGGGACTTAGAAGGTATCTGCTAGTACTTTAAATTAGCATTGATGTTTATTGCTGATACATCCCATAAATGTTTTCTGTCCATGTTATGTACCTTAAAATACTAATTTGTAATTCTTTCGTAGAGGTTGTAGAGATTTCAGGGCCATCTCTAAAGATACTGCAAAGGACACATGCTCTAGCTGCTCTCTTCCCAGCATTGCTATGTAAGGGAGCCTGAATGAAAATGAATCGAGAGTTTGTATGAAAAGGAATTCCCTAGCCATCTTAGCAAAGGGAGTGGGAGTAAGATTGGAAGAGGGAGGATATTGGCCTGTATGTGAATGTTTATGCACATCATGTTTTTTTGTTTGTTTTTGTTTTTATAATCAGGTCTAGCTAGTATAAAGTGCTAAATATTTTTTAATCGTATTTTTGAAAAGTAGTAGAGAATAAACAATATTCATCAGATTTGTGAAGGATTGATGACTCAGTGTTAGAGGGAATGCTCACCAAGGAAAAGATCTAATAGTTTTGAACATACAAAATGTAAGGTTTATTTACAACGAAAAAAATAACACAACACAACTGGAGGAAATGCTTGTATCAAATGTGACTAAGGGTGAACATCTATAATATCTGAAGAGGAAGTTCTCTCAAACCTAATGAAGAAGTTTTAATACATAAGTGAACAAAGTATTTTAGCAGTTAATGATTAATAAAAAGGTGGAATTATGTTTACCGTCACTGGTAATCAAAGAAATGCCTTTTAAATTAACCTTGAGTTACCTCTTCTATTCTCTCGAAAGCACTGAAAATTAAAATAACTTCCAATTCTGGAGAGGCTTTAAGGAAATGGACCCATTCACTCTAATGTGTTTCTTGTGCTACTCCCAGCCACTGCCTTTCCCTGAACATGCTGTGCCATTTGAAATTCTTATGTCTCATCTTTATGGGTCCTTCCCCTGTTCTTCATGTTGACTTTCTATCTCTTGAGAGCAGCAGTCAGATCCTGGGGGCATCCCTTCTGAGTCAGCCCTGCCAGTGAGCACTCTGATTTGCATTCGGTACTGCACCACAGTCATGGGTGTATGAATCAGTCCCTACCACTTGGCTGGGGAGTTCTTGAGGTTAGGGCTGGTCAGGCCCTGCATTAGGGTCTGGCATACAAGTAATTATTCAGTAACTATTGAACTAAATTATTGGACTTTGGTAAATGTTTTAATGAACATTTGTTAGGGTGATGGAATAATTTGATCACTAAAGTGTAATTATAAGTGTAACTTATGGCAAAATTTTGTAACCAAATACAGAATGATATGTTTAGTGTAATTTCAACTGCTTTTGAAAGATAATGTGCAGAAAATGAATTTTTAAATATTTTAAAGTTATAGATAACAAACTTTTATTTCTTTATTACAATCTTTATGGCACAATATATAATTTTTAAAATCAGTTGGCAGACTTGACCTCCCTCTCTTCTCATCAGAAATTAACCTCTGTGTGCCCTGTTCAGTTATCTGATTGAACTCTCAGGAAATAAGGTGGGCCTCCCCAGAATGTGGGCTTTTAAGGATAGCTGCATTTAAGTGGCTGAATTAGGTCCCCAGGCATGTTTGAACTTTTACTGTGCCTGGGTGCATATAACTTGAGAGATACGGTACTTAGTATTGTAGAGTTTATAAATATATTCATGTTATCAATGATAAGTTCTACAGCTTTTAATAATGTCAAATATAAATGGTAATTGATTTTTTAAAACATTTTTTGAGTATCTACCATCTGCCAGTGACTGAAATACAGAATTCCTTTGAGGAAGTCCTTGTCTGACAGGAAAGACAGACATCCATGGGCCTTTCATACAGCGAGATGAGTGCCATAATCGTGTGTTGAACAGAGTGCAGTGGGTTGTAGAGGTAATGGAGAAGCAGTTATTTCTTAGAGAGCTGGTGAGATGAGATGACTGTTCTCCAGTGAGATAACTCTTGAGCAGGACTTCAGAAGATGGGCAAAATTTTTGCAAGGTGGATAGGAGAAAAGGGAAAAAGCATGAACAGAAAGGTAGAAGTGTAGAAATACATGATGTGTTCAGAAGCCACTAAAAGATTTTGGAGAGGGATATGACATGGTTAGGTTTGTATTTGGAAAGAAAATTGAGATCAGTGATTATAACAAGGAGACACAAGAAAAGTTAATCTTTTTTTTTCTTTTCTTTGCATGCTTTTCTATGTGACAATTTTGTGAGCATCCCCAGATTTTAAATTGCAACATAGATAGGACATACTTTACATTATGCACAGTACTGGCCAGCCAACCATATGTCCTCTCATAGCTGTACATCAGAGTGTCCCTTCTAAAAGTCTGGGTTAACAGTGGGCTGCAGGAATGAGGTCAGCTAAGAAGCCATTTCAGTGTCCACATCACCACAGGAAGTGATGGCTTTTTCAGGGCCATGATAACAGAAATGGATGGGAGGGAATATATTTGCCTATATAGACTTGGTATCAGAGTTTTGTGGGGGTAGAGAGAAAAAGGAATTACACATCGGTGTTTCTCATATTTTAATGTGCATATGAATTGTCTAGGGATTTTGTTAAAAGGTAGATTTTGATTCAGTAGGTCTGCGGTGGGGCCTCAGATTCTGCTCCCAAGTGTTGCCACCACTGTGAGGCCATGGTCCAGTGAATAATTAACAAGGACGAGATAACGTGGGTGTGAGACTCCACTGACTAGATGGTGATGGCATTATCTGAAATACCTGAAATGGGGAATACCACAGAAAAGAAAGATTGGGTGGGGGAATGGGGTGAAGTTTTTGTGGGACATTCGGATATAAAAATTGTAGACAGCTGAAAGTTTGGATTCTAAGCTTGAGAGAAAAATCAAGCATAGAGATACAGATTTTGGAATAAGCATTTCATTGCTGACAGTAAAAGTCATGAGAATGAGTGACATTACCTACAAAAAAGAGATCAAGTTAATATTAGAAAATATACTTACTGCTTCATCATTCAAAGGCCTCATCTTCTAAAAAGAAAAATAAAATGTATCTATTTGCTAAAATTTTAATGTCCATTTAAGTGACTATAAATCAGCAATGGGAAAGAAATTGGATAGGTAGCTTCCTCCCTATGAACAATCTCTAGGTGTAAATTGAGGGAAGGAGAAGTGTTCTTTGGAAAACCCCCCTTTTCCTTGGTAATGACTGTAGATAAGTTAAAAATGCATTAAAGTATCTTATGAGAAATAATTCGTATAAATAAATATGTGTAAAGAAACTTCAAAATGCCAGGCAGTCTTCTGACCTTAACATTAGTAGCAAATGAAATGAATCCCTGAAACAGTGGAGCTTATCAGGGAGATTGACAAATGCTGTGTTAGGAAAGTATAGTGTGATGCGAGAGCACACACATCAGGAACACATGACTCAGTGTGGAGACAAGGGATGGCCTACCTGAGGAAGTAGCATTAAGCTGAGACCAGAAGGCTGAGTGGAGGTGACCTACAGGAAGAAGAAGGGAAGGTTGTAACAGTAATGACTTGGAGGGGAGAGGCCCTGCAGGTTGGAGAAGTTCAGTGTGGCTGACCATGGAGTGTGCAGAGTGAGGGGGTTGACTGCTGAGCTCCAGAGGTGGACAGAGCCCCTGGTGAGGCCCACTCCTCTGGGACTTAGTAGAGAGAAGAGGGAGAAAATGATGTATTTTCCCAAGGAAAAACTATTATCCTGCTTTGGTATAGTTCAAACAACAGTCTTATGCATATGGTTTTACAAGCATATGGCTTTTATGGACGGGCCTACTAATGACATGACTCATAGTAATGTTTCTGTAGGAAAAATGTTTTGTGCTTCAAAAGCTGTCTTATAATTTAACTTTCAGATTTTTTTTTTTTTCCCCATTTGGGAACCGCTTGGATAAGAGCACAATTCTATTGCTTTTTGTTATTTCTGCTAAAAGTGTGCTTTCTCTGGTGTGTATCTATGTGGCTACAGTGTTGATTTTCCATCTTCTGATATGAATCAAGCTATCATTGCACAGATGCAGTTGAAATGTTGTTTTATTTTCCATACACTTTCAGATTCAGAAAGTGTATGGAAATAGAGAAATCTTTTTATAAATTGTTTAGTTTTCAGAGTGTTTGTTCTTCAAAGTTAAGGATTCCCTCTGTAAACTATATTGTGGTATACTGTGTTATATACCATGAAAGTATGAAAAATTAAACTACCATGAAAATTGTTATGAACAGAAAGTAGAAGAGATTGGTATGTTTTCACTATTGAAGTCAAATAGTATGTAGAAGGTAAACAATAAAAGATAAAATACCCAGCTTTAAAAATACTTTAGTAACCATGAGCTTATCGTCATAATCATCTTCATTACTAGCTATTGTTATCATTAGTAATACTTGATATTTTAAAGCAGGAAACAGCAAATGTTAAGGCCACTCCCTTTGTAAAATTGATCTATATGAGTTTCACTTTCTTTAATAAATGAAACTTTAGGCTGAAACTCTCCAATTCCCTTATCTCCAATATGCAAAGTTAATTTCATCCACATCTATCTTGTGAAAGTATCTTTCCTTCTCTATCAATTAGAATACTTTCAGCTGGTAAGTGACAGAGACCCAACTGAAAGTATCATATGTAATAACTGCATTTTATTATCTCATATAACTAGAAATCTGGAAGAAAGATGGTTTTTTAGTTGGCTCATATAGCAGCTAACTGCTATCATCAGACTCTCTGGCTCTGTCTTTTCATTCTACCATCCTGCATAAGTTGACTTTTGTCTTCAGACTTTCCCCCTCCTCATCTCAAGATGGCAGCTTTAACTCCAAGAATGACATACTCATATCAAAGCATCCATGACTGTAAGAAAAGGTGTCTCTCTTATGTCTTTTTCAGAAATGAAGAAAACTTTCTTAGAAGCCTCCTAGAAAACATGACCTCACTAGCCAAAACTGCATCCTATACTGTTTCTAAGCCAGTCAGTGGGGAGGGGTACAGAAGTCCTAGATTCATGGCCCTCCACTCTTCCCAAGGTAAAAAAAAATTAAAAATAAAAAAATAAATAAGATTTTGTTATCCACAAAGAAAGGGAAGACTAAGTAGGCAACCTCTAGGTCTGCCATACCTTCCAAGGCCAATTTATTTGCCTAGACTCTTAATTCCTTTCTGCCTCCTAGAAGACTTTGTTAATCATTTCTTCTTGCCTTCATTTTCAGTCTTCTCATTCTTTTTCTTCAAGCTTATTGAAAGAAGAGTCTACATATGCTGCCTTCATTTTTTCCCCTCCCATTTATTCCTTAAATTCCTTGCAATCTGGATTTTGTTCCTTCTAATAAGAAACCTTCCTTTTCTGTCAACAACAATGACCACCTGATTCCCAAATCCTTTGCCAGTGTCTTTTGTTTTCTGGATTTTCTATTCTCTGTTTCATTTGTTTGCACATTATTCTTTATTATTTCCTTCCATCTGCTTGCTTAGGTTTAGTTTGCTTTTCTTTTTGTAGGTTCTGTCTTCTTAAGGTGGAAGATTAGATTATCCACTTGAGATCTTTCTTTTTTAATATAGGCATTTATAGCTACAAATTTCTTTCTGAGTACTATTTTCTTTAGCTGTATCCAATAAATTTTGGTATGTTGTGTTTTAGTTTTCACTCATCTCAACATATTTTCTAATTTTCTCTCTGATTTCTTTGACCTATTGGTTATTTAGGAGTGTGGTTCCCCCGCCCATCTTTGTGAATTTCCTAAAATTCCTTCTGTTACTGATTGTATTATAATTGCATTCCATTGTTTCAGAGAACATTCTTTGTGTGATTAATCTCTGTAAATTATTGAAGGTTGTTTACGGCCTAGCATGTGATCTCTTTTGGAAAATGTTTCTTATGCACTTAAGAATGCATATTGCCTTGTTGGGTGGAGTGTTATTAGTTGTCTTTAGGGCTAGTTGTCTTACTGTGTTGTTCAAATCTTCTGTGTTCTTGTTGATTTTCTTCCTGGTGGTTTTATCTAGTATTGAAAGAGGGTTAGTCTCCAATTATTATTTTTGAGTTGTGTATCCCTTCAACTCTGTCTTTTCTTCCTTCTGGTGTTAGGTGCATATATGCTTCTAATTGTTATATCTTCCTGATGGATTGACCCTTCTGTCATTATGAAGTGTTTCTCTTTATTTCTAGTAATATATTCTTGTTTTAAAATCCATTTTGCCTGATTCTTTTATGTTTACTGTTTTTATGGTATAGCTTTTACTTTCAACCTATTTGTATGATTGAATCTAAAATGTGTTTTATATAGATTTTATATGTAGTTGGGATCATTGTTCTTTTTCTTTTAAAAAAATACAGCCTGATAATCTTTCTTTTGATTAGATTGCTTAATCTGTTCACATTTAATGTAATTACTGATATAGTTGGATTTTTGTATGCAGTTACGAATTTTGTTTTCCATAGGTCTCAAGTCTTTTTTGTTCTTTCCTTTCTTGCCTTCTTTTGAGTTAAGTAGATATATTGTAGTGTGATGTTTTAATTCCTTTGCTACCTTTTAAAAAATATATTTTGAATTATTTTCTTAGTGGTTGCTCCAGGGTTTACAGTGTACATCTTGATTTATAAGAATTTCACTTCTGATTTATACTTACTTTCAGCAAAATAGACTTCCTCTATTAACTCCATTTCCCTCCCCAACATTTTTGTGCTATTATTGATGTACCTATTATGTCAAACCCAACAATACACTGTTGTAATTTTTACTTTATGTCTTTTGAAGAAACTGAGACAAGGGAGAGCAAGTACATATTTATAGTTAGTTGTATTGACCTCTCTATTTTTCATTTTCTTTACATATTTCTGCATATTTGAGTTAGCTCTGGGGTCATTTTCTTACTCCCATAGAACTTTGTTCTCATCTGCTTCATTTGTACTGTTATTGTCTGTCTAAATATGTAACAGTGAATGTTGTTAGCCCAATAATAAAATTATAGCTACAGTGTTTTATTGAATTATTCTTTAAATCAGTTAAGAGAAGAAAGGGGAAGAAATATGCAATTACAGTGTCTTTTGCAATTATGTACGTAATTTCCTTTACTGGCACACTTTGTTTTTTGGGGCTTCCAATTACTGTTTGGCGTTACTTGCTTTTAGCCTGAAGAATTTCCTTTAGTATTTCTTGTAAAACAGATATTCTAGCAACAAATTCTCTGTTTTTATTTTCCTGGGTATGCCTTAATTTCACCTTTATTTTAAAAATACAGTGTTGCTGGATATTAGAGTCATAATTCACAATATTTTACTTTAGCACTTTGAATATTTAATTCCATTGCTTTCTGCCCTCGCTTGTTTCTAATGAGAAGTCAGTTGTTAATCTTATTGGGGACTCCTTTGTGCTTGTCTGGTCATTTTGCTCTTGCTGCTTTCAAGATTTTCTCCTTGTCTTTGGCTCTCAAGATTTTGCCTATAATGTGTCTGGAAGTATATCTTTTTGTATTTATCCTATTTAGAATTTGTTGAGCTCCTTGGGGGATGTGTAGATTAATATTTCTTTTTCTTTTATCAAATTTGGAAAGATTTCAACCATTATTTATGTATTTTTTATTCTTTTTCTTTCATTCTTTTTTTTTCCCTCTCTCTGAGACAGGGTCTCACTGTCACCCAGGCTGGAGTATAGTGGCATGACCTTAGCTCACTGCAGGCTGCACCTCACTGTGGGCTTAAGCAGTCCTCCCACCTCAGCCTCCTGAGTAGCTGAAACTACAGGTGTGTTTCACCCTGCCTGGTTAATTTTTAATTTTTTTTTATAGAGACAGGGTCTCAACATGTTTCCCAGGCTGGTATTGAATTCCTTGGGCTGAAGCAATCCTCCCACCTCGGCCTTCCAGGGTGCTCGAGTTACAGATATGAGCCACCATGCCTAGCCTTATTATTTCTTTAAATATTATTTCTCCCTCTTTTTTATCCTAATGGCATCTGTTTTAGTCCATTTTCTGTTACTTTAACAGAATACCAAAGACTACTTAATTTATAAGGAAAAGAAATTTATTTTTTACGGTTCTGGAAGCTAAGAAGTCCAAGAGCATGGTGTGAGCCTCTGGTGAGGGCCTTCTTGCTAGTGGGAATTCTCTACAGAGTCCCAAGGTGGCACAGAGCATCACATGCTGAGAGGGCACATGAGTGAGAACCAAACTGGATTTTATAACAGATGCATTCTTGTGATAGCTAACCTACCTGCTTGATGACCCATCAATCCAGTAACTTATTAGTCCACTAATCCATTCATGAGAGCAGAGCCCTCATGACCCAGTTACCTCTTAAAAGTACTACTTCTCAATACTTCTGCATTCAGGACCAAGTTTCCAATACAGTGAACCTTTGGAGAACACATTTAAACCACAGCATTCCACTCTGGGCCCCCAAAATTTATGTCCTTCTGGTGTTTAAAAATACATTCATTCCATCCCAGTAGCTCCAGAGTCTTCATTCATTCTATCATGCACTCAAAAACCCAAAGTTCCAAGTCTCATGTAAATCAGATTTGAGTGAGACACATGGTGTATTTGCCTTGAGGCAGATTCTTTTCAGCTGTGAGCCTATTAAATCAAACAAGTTACCGACTTCCAAAATATAGTGGTGGAGCAGGCATAGGACAGACA